TGTAGTTCAAATAGAGGAAGGTGTTTTCTCTTTTGTCTTACAGGATTATTAAAAATAGCTCTTCTTTATAAAGGCTTGAAGCAGGCACCCCCATGAAACAAGAACAAATTGTTCTTGGGTAAGCCTGCTCCTTGGGTAAGGCTCCTTTGTGTTGCACTCAGCTGACCTGTGTCCCTTTCTCTGAAGGTGGAGGCGCTGCAGGGCCACCGCGTGGTTGACATTGCCTGTGGCAGTGGTGATGCCCAGACTCTCTGCCTCACGGATGACGACACCGTCTGGTCCTGGGGGGACGGGGACTACGGCAAGCTCGGCAGAGGAGGCAGTGACGGCTGCAAAGTGCCGATGAAGGTATTTCCTATTTACACCTTGCCCGCCCCTCTCCCACATTGGTCGTCAGGTTGCTCCAGGTGCTGGTTCCTGAGGGCCCCTAAGGGCCCTCAGAGCCACTATTACTGTCCCCCTCTGTGCGCTTCTCAGAAGCATTTTAACCTCATCTTTACCTTCTTTCCAGAAAATATAATGGGTAATTGGGTAAAAAGTAAGTGAAGGGCCCAAAGACATGAAGATATTTTAAGTGCTGTTGTGCTGTCCTGGGAGATGCATGTGACGCAGCAGGGTACCGCAGAGCCTGCAGCTTTATTTAGCTTGTAGACCTCTTTGAGGAAGAGGATAACACATTGTTCACACTTTTTTCAGTTTATAGAGGTACACAGATGCCACGTCATAAGCTGTGGGAGGTAGCAGGACTTGCTGAAAGGATTGTGTCTGGGTCAACCTGACGCTGCCTCGGGTGGGCATCCTGAGAGGAGCCGGGAAGAGGCTGCGCGGCTGCCTGAATCCACAGGCCTTCAGCGGGGTTGGTTCTTTGCTCCACACGAGCGGAGGGACTCTGGGCACTTTCTGAACTTTGCCAGACTGTCTTTTGCCCTTGTAAATGGGTGTTTGGTAGAGGTTAGGCGAATCAGTGTGTTTAGACCTCGTACTTAGAGCTCAGTGGCCTGCACTGGTGGATGCTGCAGTGTTGTGCAGCTGAGGTACTCTGCCAAGGACTTGGGGGCCGGGGTGCTGTGAGAGGAAACTGGAACCCACCTCTGCTCGTCGTCCTCGCTTGCTGGGCTCTGGGATTGCAGGTGTGGGATACAGAGGTGTATGTTGCGCAGGCGCCTCTGGGGCTGACTCTGACCCCCAGAAGCTCCTCAGATGAGGGAAGAGCCTGGCCCAACCATGCATCTTTTCTTCCTGGAGCTTGTTGCCCATTACAGCAGCTGTTGGCCACATATGGGCTGGAAGAGAAGACGTCACCTGGAGGGCTCACTGTATCTCCCTGTGCCCACAGCTGTGGCTATGGCCTCCTCCTTGTGTTTTAAACATGTTATAGGTTATAAAGGATTCCTTCCCACATTTATGAAAAACGATCTGCTGTGAATTTTCTTAAGCTAAGGAAGGCTTTATACAAAGGCTTTGCACCTTCGAGGAGCAGAATGCTGGGTGTCGGGAGGGGCTGTAGGAGCACATCACCAATGCCATTGTGATAGGGCTGGGGGCCAGGTGACAACTCAGGAAGAGAATGAATTATTAGTTAATTAAAGTTTCAAACTGAACGTGAGAACTTAGTCATGAGAATAGTCACAGTGTCAGTAAGGAGCAGGGTTTGTAAATGAGCCCAGTAGTACCCCTGGATGTGCAGGGTGTGGACCCAAGTGTGCAGGGTAGAGGCGGGTTACAGGACTGGCACGAGGGCACTGCAGGGAGCGTGGCCAATGCTCCCCGCAAAAAACCGGCTCCCTTTGGTAGAGTTGCAAGGGATAAGAAAATAATAGAAAAATGGAAATAAAAGAATACACAGAGACAAAGGTATAGTTTTATAAATTTATAAAGATTATAGGCAAAGCAGGAGCTCAGGGGGCCTAGATCTCCGTCAATCTCAAAAAGGCAACGAATGAAGTCTTACGTGGTCACTTATAGGTAACAGTGATTAGTTGCCAGGGGTAACAGATTTACATAACAGCAGATAGTTCCTCTTAGGTTAACAGATTTTCAGAAGGCTTCTACAGATCCCTTAACTAATTCCATCTACGGGAACAAATGGTTACAAAATCTTTCAAAGATTAACTTCTAAGTTCTGAGGTAAATTTATCACTTAACAGAGGGGTTAAACAGAGATATATTGGCTCCATATTTTCTTTATCAGGTTATTGTGAATGGAAACAGGTAGTCTGGAGTTTTAAGCAGGAACTGCCCCTTAACTGCTTATAGCCAGGGTAGCTGTCTATGGCTGTCTGTTTGGGGCAGACACTCTTTCATCAGCTCTCATCCTGTAGTTTTTAACAGATTCGCTTTGCTTTACAAAGCAAATCCAAACCTTTAGGTCTGAGAAATGCGGCGCCTTGTGGGATACAGCCGCTATTGTCTTTCAGAGACGCCCTCCTGAGTGCAACAGCATTTGAAATGCAAACCAACACATTCACATATTCCTTCAGGGCAAAGCTCTGCAAAACTCTTGAGACATTTCTGTCTCCAATATATTTATATTAATTCATGGAGCAACAGGGCACGTGAGATTAGATCATCCAGACGATGGGCAGGCCCAGTGTTCCTGGCCATCCCTCCCCTGCTGCTTGCTGCTCCTTTCCTGCAGGGCTCAGGCCTGAAAGGGGGCTGGGGCAGGGGAGGGGAGGCCCAGGGGTTGCTGGAGAATGGAGCCGCTGTGCAGAGAGAGAAAATCAGGAGAGTCCATTCTGGGGGAAAGGCTTGTAGACCTCACCTGCATAGCACCCCATTTCCAGTGCCACGTGCTGGGTCCCACCCGCCATGGCATGTCAGCAGCTGTGCCCACAGTCATGGTCCTGCTTGCCTCCTGGGAGTGCTGAGATTAGGTGGAATATAATTTTAAGTTGTGGTAACTATTCAACATGGGTATGGGTTTCAGAATTCTTACTAAATCTCAGTCTGCAGTGCCTTCATGGAGTCTGTCTAACTGAGCCTTTTCTCCTTCTAGATTGATTCTCTTACAGGCCTGGGAGTGGTTAAAGTGGAATGTGGATCCCAGTTTTCAGTGGCTCTTACTAAATCTGGAGCTGTTTATACATGGTATGCAAGATTCTGTTTGTTTAATCCCACCAAAACCAGATTTTTTTTTTTTAGACAGAGTCTCACTGTGTTGCCCAGGCTAGAGTGCCGTGGCATCAGCCTAGCTCACAGCAACCTCAAACTCCTGGGCTCAAGTGATCCTCCTGCCTCAGCCTCCCAAGTAGCTGGGACTACAGGCATGCGCCACCATGCCCGGCTAATTTTTTCTATATATTTTTAGTCGTCCGATTAATTTCTTTCTATTTTTAGTAGAGACGGGGTCTCGCTCTTGCTCAGGCTGGTTTCGAACTCCTGAGCTCAAACAATCCGCCCGCTTCGGCCTCCCAGAGAACTAGGATTACAGGCGTGAGCCACCGCACCCAGCCAAAACCAGATTTTTAACTGGAGTTTTGTAACTGCCTTTTCATAGATCGGAACGTAGCTTCCATGGCAGGCTGTAGTTGCATCCTGAAGAAAGGGGGTGGGTGGGGTGTTAAATGAGATGACCTTACCTTGATGCTCCATCTTTCCTTTGTGTGCAGGGGCAAAGGTGATTATCACAGGCTGGGTCATGGATCTGATGACCACGTTCGAAGACCTCGGCAGGTTCAAGGGCTGCAGGGGAAGAAAGTCATCGCCATTGCCACTGGCTCCCTGCACTGTGTGTGCTGCACAGAGGACGGTAGGTCAGGGCCAGGGGTTGTGCTGCAGGACCAAGGCCTGGGACTCTAGGAGGGCTGCTCCAGGATAACATGTGCAGCTGTGAAAAGGGGTGAGGTGCTGGGGCGTAGGCCGTGTCCTCAGAGTTCATCTGTGGTCAGTGGGGTTTTGGCCCTGTCGTCTTTAGACCCTGCTGTTACACCTGTGAATATGTTTTTTTATGGAGCTGCGTGCAGAACAGAGCTAACAGCCAGCCTGAGCTATGTTCTCAGACAGGCCAGCTGCAAGGTCGGCCCTCGGCAGACATCTGGGAACCTGGATTTCAGGAGGGCTCCTCTGTTCCTAGGTGATAAGTGTGTCCCACTATGCCTGATCTGTCTGTACAAACAGCATGATCTGTGCTGAAACCTGCCTTCCTCTGGGGTCTGGAATTTGGTACCTGCCGGGCAGAGGGCGGCTATGTGATCAGCCCCAGTGGAAACCCTGGGCATTGAATCTCTAACCAGCTTCCCTGGTAGACAGCACTTCACGGGTGTCACCACAGCTTGGTACTGGGGAATTAAGTGTGTCCTGTGTGACTCCACTGGGAGGACTCTGTAAGTTGAGCCTGGTTTCCCCCCAGACTTCTCCCCAGGTTCCCTTTCCCTGTGCTGGTTTTGTTTTGTGTCCTTTTGCTGTAATAAATCGTAGCTGTGAGTGTGACTGTATGCTGAGTCCTGTGAGTCCTCCTTAGTGGATCACAGAGCCTGGGGGGGTCTTGGGGAGCCTGACTATTTGATACAGTTTGAGACTCAGATACTTGAGTTACTAATAATATTTTCATAGTTTACTTCTCATTGGTATTTTTCGTTTACTTTTTTGTTGTGGTAAATATATATTACATAAAATTTACTATCATGACCATTTTAAGAGCCGGGGGGTAGTCTTAGGGACACTGACACAATGGTGGAAGGGTTGTTGAGATGGAATTAAGGTTGCTAGTCAGCTGACTTTACTATGTGGAAATTATTCTGGATTACTGGATATGCTCAGTGTAATCACACAGATCCTTCAGTCAGAAAAGAAGGCAAAGAGTCAGTCAGAGATGTGACAAAGAGTCCATGGGAGAGATTTTCAAAGTGTGAGAGGCTCTCTGCCCTCCACCACTGGCTTTCAAGATGGCATGGAGCCAGGGCATGGGGTGGCCTCTGGAAGCTGGGGATAGCTGACAGCCAGCAAGGAAGCTGGACTTAAGTCCTGCAAAGAAGTGAATCCTGCCAGTGGCCTAATGAGCGAGGAAACTCTCCCCTGGGGCCTCTAGGAAGTGAGACCCATGTTGGAGTTCTGACCAAAGAACTGAAAGATAATAAATATATGTGCTGTCTTGCATTAAAACATTCCCAAAATTTTGCTTCCTTTTAAAGCCTTTAGAAAATTATATAAACCTGTACCCTTTAATCATTCATTGATGAAAAAGTTTCATGTATGAATAAGGAACTTTTATGGC